GAAATATTTCAGTTTTATAACTGGGTAAACAGATAACCCTCGCCAAAGTGAAACAGTTTTCATCTTCATTCATTTCCTCATTCATCAAATGATTATCAAGTATTTATAAGGTGCTGAATTTTGTACTCAGGATGGAGGATACAGCAATATAACAAAACAAAGTTCCTAATTCCTGGAAGTCTTAGCTTAGTGAGGAAGGCATGTACTACATGTGCAACTAAAACTATACCCTCTGTAATAAAGAAAAGGAACAATTTAAGGAGTGAGAACTGGTGTGGGTGACTCAGATAATATAGCTAGGAAAATCCCAGAGGATGTGACCTTAAACTGAGGCTTGAAAAATGAGAAGATGTTAGCTCTTCCAATAATGAAGAAAAAAGAGATTCAGGTAAAATCATAGTCTGCATGGGGCAGTGATGTGAGAAAATATCTGGGAATGTTTAAGAAATAATACCTTGCAAAATGACCAGGAGAGAAAGTGGATTAAAGTGTGGCAAGTCTGGCCTGATTACATTAGAAGCATAATGCCAGGTTCTACTCACCCCCTTTTAAGCATGTGTTTGGAAAAAAGGAGATTATCTATAACTTAGCTAGCTATAAAGAGCTATGGGAATTGTGCCAGATGAGAAAGAGAAGTCACTGCATGCTAACTATCAGTGAGAAATGGCCTGAATGGCAGGGATGAGAGTTGGTGCGGTCATATTTTCCCTGAAAGGCTGACATGAGAAGGAAAGATTTAATTTGCTCAAATCAATACAGAGACAAGGAGAGAGTTTAGGAAACATAACTTGGCTTTCTAAAAGGAAGAGAGTTCTAATAATTTTACCTTGTTCACAAAGAAATCAACTCTTTCCATCCAAAGAAGTGCAGCGGGAAATTTGAAGCATTACAATACCCTACCAAGAATGTCTCATTGAATAATTTCTTCTTGACTTCTGGTCTAGACTAGGGGAATTCCACCTACTTCTAAATGCTATAGATCGAAACTATAGATGTATACAAAATAAATGGTTACAATATGACTTGAGAAACAAGAAAGACAGGGACTGGAAATTCAGCACCAAAACAGTGCCTCCCTCCCCCCCAAAAAAGGGGTTATCTTTGTTATCTACAGTAAAGTATCTATGGGTAAATGTGTCATTACTAATATGTGTCATTACCAACATTTCCAACATGAGTACCTGTGAACAAGTCGCATGCCATAAAAATACTCGCAAGGTCTTTGAGCATCTCATAATGTACACCATCCCTCCATAGTGTTTATAGGACAGAACATATATAGATCATGTATAACAGATGATCACAGTGCTTTAAAAATGTCAATCCTCATGCTAATTGTGATCAACAGTTAATGAGTATCCATTCTTAAATATAACTATTAATTGTTTGACAAATAATTTTATTTATTTATTTTGCCTCTCCCATACTGGGATATAAAAGCTGTGAGAGCAGGGATGTCGTGGCCATTTGGTTTACTGTTTTAATCCTAGTACTTAGAAGTGTATTTTTTGACATATAGCGTATGCTTGCTAATGTTTACATACTTAATTGATCAATCATATTAAACTCTTTTAATTGATTACTTAAAGTTAGACAACAACATGGTTTTTGTGTGCAGGAAGTCTGAGTATAAAGGCTGACCACTCTGTTAAGTTCTAGGAACTGTCCTTAACATCTGTACTTGAAGGTATCTGGACTCTCAAATTTTCTTTCCCAGTTCTGACTTAAGCTTGCATGAGTGGTTGGAAATAATGAAATTGAGTGATAGTAAATTATTCAAATTGACTCACAACCATCCTGAGGCAAATGATCGTTTTTGCTTTCATTTAATTTGGGTTAGTTTGATATAACTTTGCCTCGCCTTTGTTTTTGTTCTTAAAATTCTAGAGAAATGGACTTGCTGAATTCTGATGTGTAGTTAATCCAAGATATATTTTTGTACTCTTTTATGAGGGGAGCAAAGCACCATTAAAAAAAAAAATCAAATCTATTGCTTCTGTTCATGGTTTATTTTGTAGTTGCTGATTTTTCTTGGTTTCTCCCCTCCCCCTTTTGTTTGTTAGAGTGCTGTTTTCAGGCTTTTTTTTTTATGATAGATTGGAAGGTTGCCATTATTTAAAAAAAAAAACTGCTTTTAAAAAATCGTCAAGATCAAAAATCAAAGTTTTATATTCCATAAAGCAAGAAAATTAACAGGTTTATATTTGCATTCATCAATCCTTTGACTTTCAGTTTTTGCTGACGAAAAATGAGAATTTTAAACCCATATCAGTAATTATTTTTTATATTATACCCTCTTCTTTTTAAGTAATAATTTTTATATTAACCTTCTCTTTTATAATGTATTTACATCAATTATTGAGCATTAACACTATGTTTAATTAGTTTCTATCCTCACAATGGGTCTTTTATTCCATATTTCTCTATTTTTGATTTCTTCATTTTGATTTATTGCTTGGTCAATTGCTCTTTGAATGATTTATTAGCAGCAGGGCATGTGGGAGCCCCAGGATACTGAGAATGTCTTTCTGATGTATTTGCACAAGAACAACAACTTGGCTGATAAGGAATTTGTGGGTTATAACATTTTCTCCTCAAAAATCCTCCAGGCTTAACTGCATTGTCTGCTGCCCTTTATGATATGGAAAAGTCTGAGAGGGGCCAGGCAGAGGTTGTTAGGCTAAGAATGGCTTTTCTGCTCCTATGACCCTTCCACCTAATTCTTTTCAGCAAAATGTAATGTTAAATACAGTCATTTGAAGCAGTATGTGGTTTTTCTTTTGCCATAAAATACAACACTCCGAACGCCCAGCTCCCACAGTTGTTCCTCTCTGTTCTTGTGAGGTGAGACCAACTACATCCTCCAGACACCTGGCATAAACACCCATCCAATTCCATTCCTGTTTGCGTCTTATTCTTGCAAATTTTAGCTCCAAATTGGGAGTGCACATGAAATGGAATTGGAGGCAAAAGAAATAAATGGTCTTATTCCTCTTGGAAGCAGTAAAAGGAGCTGCTTTCTAGATGCATCTACTTCAGAGTAGCATCGGATTTCCCCCAATGGCTGCACCCCATATCTTGAGGAGGCAGACTATTGAGTGATTTGGGGAAACAAAGCCTTCAATAATTCTCCTGCTATTGTGCTTAGAGATAAACACACTCAGGTTGGGAAAATTCCTCCAGGAGTCCACTTGCTAGTTTCTTGGGTCCTGTAGACTAGGTTTCTTATTTGGTTCTTACAAGGATCTTAGTAGGAATGTGATAGAGCATGAGTAAGTGCAGCTACCACTCTTTTTCACAGCATAAAGACATACCAGCACTACTTGGTATGCTGCCAAGAGCAGGGAAAGCCACATCTTATCAGAGAGAAGTTTTAAATGAATAAACTGGCTCATTTGGGGTACAGAGAACCAAGAACGAGATGGGGCTCCAGATGCTCAGTCCATCTTTATGTCTTCCTCCTCAATACATCAGAGTGTTTCTTGCAGAGGGAAGACCAGATGGACAGGTGGAAGGCAGCCTGGCAGCTTCTCCTTGTAGTTTCATAGTCTCTGCAAGGAGTGTTGCTTAACCAGTAATACATGCAGAGTTGAAATACCAATGTAGAATTTAAATGGGTCTGTGGACATTTTAAATGTTAATTAGTTCCTCCATCCAGGTTTCTCACAAGATAATGACAGCCACTGTCAGACTAAACTCCCTATCCTGGTGACCCAGAGCCAACATAGACAGGCCACTGTCCACATCCTTCACCAAGGCCTGCTTTTTCTCAATTTTCCCTTCTTCAGTGAGCTTCTTCACATCTCCAGATACACTGTAGAACATGGCACAGGCCAGACTCCCTTCTGTTCATATAAGTTCTTGGAGGATATATAATACAACCTTATGAACTGTTGTATTATATATTGCCAGTAGTTATTATACAGTTGCTGAATGAAATATAGTAACTTGGAATATCTCCACAAAAACATCCATATGGAAAATACTTGGGTGATAAGAGGAACTAAATATATATCTAACTTGTAAAAAAACTAAGACTGGATGAGAGTGTGTTTGTGTAGAGGGAAGAGGGTGTTAAAGAGGATTTTACGTAACTGAAGGAGTATCACCTGAGAAGGTGACTGCATAGGTTCACTGGGCCCTAAGAATAGCTACCAAGGGCACTGGATAGAAGCTACAGTACGAGTACAAACTTTCAGGCCCTCCCTGGTGGCACAGAGGGTTAAAGTACAGCTCTAAGAACCTAAAGCCACTTCAGCTTGAGTTCAATCCTTGCCCCGGAGGTGACCCACATAGCAGCAGACCTCTCCTGACCCGCCCACTGCTCCCCTCAGCAGTGTACTTTATCAGTCAGCCTTTTCTGTTCCTCACTCTGTCTCTGGTGAAGACTCTCACTGCCCCTACACCTCTGGCCTGTACCTCAGTTCTGTATGCACAAAAAAAAAAAAAAAAAAATACAAACTTTCTTAGGGCCACAGCCCCCTTCTGTACCCACCACCTCCCTCCCCCATCAGCAAAATCACCACAGAAAGATTTATGGGGATTACACCTCAGGGAAGAGATCAAATATTATATAGAAAAAGGAACAATAATGTAAGAAAACAAAGAACATCTTAAAAAGATGTAAGTTCTCTGCTACTTGAGGTATTTGAGAAAAAGCCCTGCTGCTGGTTACCTGTGATTTTATACTGTTGACGGAAGCACTCTTTGGTGTATAGGCAAAGGGAAGGCAATATTGGACGACCCTTTCATGTCCTTTCTAGTCCTGTGATTTTGTGATGGCTGGCACTCCTTCTACACTAAAGAAATACCTGACACACACAAAAGGCTTCCTTGTCATGTGGAGAAAAAATACTTTCTAAAGTGACTAGCGATAAGGTTGAATTTGGTCCATGAGCCTTAAAGTTTGCCAACCTCTGCCCTAAAGTCATGCTACACTCTCATTTGAGGACAGGAGAACACAAACAAGGTAAGAAGTGGCCTGATGTGGTCATACTTACTCCATTTGCTTTGCTGAGTGCCTGAAAGTAGATGCTGTAGCTTTTCAGAGGAGAAAGAGGAGGATTCCAGTAGCCATTGTATGTCTTATTGTCACCCACTGTAAATGGCTGAGTGACAGGAAGGTTGGCTGGCTTCAACTCGGCAGCAAAGTAATGCAGAGAATCGAGGTTGGAGGCATTCCTGTAGCTCACAGGTACCGAAAAGCACTCAATGATGTCAGCTGCTCTTCGTGACTTTTGAAGTCGCTCTTCCTTGACAACCAGCTGATAAACACTAGATAGAAAGGAAGCCAGGCAATTAAGCAACTTGTTTGTTGTCATTATCACAACTAATCTTCCCTCCCGAGTTTCAGGCTTCTGAACCAAGGCTGCATGAAATCAATCGCCATGTAGATATCTCAAAGCTAGCTCACATGGAATATATCCAAAAAATGCAACTCAGTCCCAATTCCTACAAACACTGCGGTTTCTGTTCCTGTTCCTTTCCCTGTTAGCACTTCCCAACAAATGAATGTGGGCCTTGCCCTCAGTTCCTCCCTAATTAGTTCTTACTGTTTTCCTCTAGTCAATAATCTCCTACTTGACCTTCCGTCTCTCCACTAACTCACACTGCTCAGATGTGGCTCTTTCCCATCTCTTCCTTGAACTCAACGGATTTCTTTCTTCTAGTTTATTTAATCAATTAACCAGTGAAACCACTGATCTTCCTAATGATTAACACTGTTTCTCTTCAAACACTTCCACTGGCTGTGCGTTATCCCAGGCATTTGGGACACTTCACTTCCACTCTATCTTCAGGAAAGTCTTATGAGGCACCTCTCATTCTAGCTGCCCCAGACCCTCTATTAATACTGACACATCCCTGGATTCTCACTCCACCCATTGCCAGCTCATGCCTTTCCCCACCTGCCCACATCATGTTTCCTCTCCTCCTGCCCAGCTCTGCCTGTGGATTGCTTTTCCTAGGCTTATCCTGCCTCCTTTATTAAGCCTGTCTGGATGAGTTTTCCCCTCACAAGATCCCACACAACTCACTAGTGACCCACCCTTGGGACTGCAATAAACTGAACAGGGGACCATGGTTTCTCTGGCTAGATTTTGACCTTTTTGACAATGGGAGTTGTGATTCAGTTATCTCTGGAGCACCTCCTCCAATATTCACTTCCCAGCAGGCTGCCTACTATTTAGTCAGTGATCAACAAATGCATCTTTCAATGAATCAAATCAAATTGAATTGAAGTTGAAAGTAAACATGAAATCAAACCTGGCTGAATGCAGAAATACTAATCAAGATAGAGAGCAATTTCCCTGAACTCTTGTCTACTATTCTCATACTGTCCCCTTCAACTTGGAAAAACATGATCCATTAATGGGGAAAAAAAATGTTAAATTGGCTGTCATTAGATTTTTCTTAATTGGGCTTCAAAACACACCACTAACCAAAGTAAAATCAAAATACACATTGAGAGAAAATACTTGCAACTTATAAGTCTGATAAGACATAACAATTCATTGCTATTCAATAACAAAGTGACAAATAATGCAACTAAAAATTGAGAAAAGATTTGACTAGACATTTTACTAAAGGTGAAATACAAGTTAATAAACTATGGTTAATAAGCTATGCAATGATGGTTAATCTCAATAGTCACCAGGAAGCTAATAAAGTAAAACCAGTTAGAAACCACTGACTAGAATGACTATCTGTAAAAAGCGGACAAGAGCAAGTGTTGGCAAGGATATGGAAAAACTGGAATCATCGTACGTTGCTTGAGAGGGAAAAATGACGCAGCCACTTTAAAAAAGTCTGGAAGTTCTTTTAAAAAGTAAATATAAAGCCACCATCAATTGAGTGGCTACTTTCCTAGGCATCTACTTAAGGGAAGTGAAGAAATATGCATAAAAAAGGCTTACATACAAATGATAATAACAACATTATTCATAATAGCCAGTTAAGACAATCTGCAGATCTATCAGCTGGTGGACATATAAAGATGTGCTACATCTATCGAGTGAAGTAGTATTCAGCAATATAAGGAAAAAGTACTAATATATTCCGGCTATGGATGAAGCTTAAAAACATTATGCTAAATGAAAGAAGGCAGACACAAAAGACTCCATTCATAACACAATGTCAAGAAAAGGCTAATTTACAGAGGCTGAAATTAGATTTGTGGTTGCCTAAGACTGGAGGTGGAGATAGAAATCAACTGTACTTAAGCATAGGGTGATTTATGGTGTGACGGAAACATTCTGAAGTGGGACATGGTAAGGGTCCTGCAGTCTTACTGAAAATCATTGAATTGTAACATAAAATGGGTGAATTTTATGGTATGTAAATGACATCTCAATAAAGCTGTTAAAGAAATGAGGGAAATGAACTGAATAATTTTGGTTCTTCTTTTTCCCTTTAAAAGTCTGTGCTTTTTGCCTTCACCTATGCACATGTCTTAATACAAAAATGCTATGATGAACCTTGGTGTTACTGTACAAGGCTCAGAAGCAAGTATGAGCTTTGTAATCCCCAATAGTATCTAGCTTTGCAATTACATTTCCTACTTTAAAGGTCACTCAGAACTATGGAGCTGAAATTTACAATGATATGTCTTAGTTAACCAACTTTTATATCAAGGCTCTGGAAATTCCTTATTGTATACACTGTTTTCCTAGTCACCATAGCCCTTAGAGAAGATAAGGGAATGGAGAGAGATAAATTCATGATTCAGTGTCAGAATAGGTGCGCACAGATTTTGATCTCACTGGCTGTGTGACTTTCTGTCTCTCTGTCTTCATATTCTTTTAAATTTATTCATCAGTGATACAATAAATCACTGGGCATTGGATGCTTAGAACTGTGATGGGGGAGACAGGCATTCACCGAGCAACACAATCCCATGATGCAAGGACAGAAAGAGGAACTTGGCCAATGTAGGGTTTTGAGAAGGGGGCACCCGCTGGGTACTCAGTGATGATCACATGAGATTATTTGTCTAGAAAGTGTTCTCTGTGAAGTCAGTGCTCTGTAAAATTTGGATGGAGCTAATGATTGCTGCATGTATTATTATATCAAATTAGACAACAAAACTTCACCTGTTTTCCATTTGGAACCTTTTCCTGTGATTAAAATATACTTGATATAGTTAACAAAAGTGGAAACTCAGAGTAGAAATTTAGAGGAAGCTCTACATGTTGTGTAAAAGAATCATCACATTTCAGCTGAAAAGTACAAATGAAGCTATCCTTATTATCAGAAGTAAGTAAAAGATACCTTACAAGAAGAAATGACCTAACGATGGATAGAGTTTCATATATCCATATATTTAGAAGAACCATAGCTAATGTTATTGAGTGTGTGCTTGGGTTGAGCTATATTTCAACCAAGACCTGACCATTGTTGTCATGACTTTCTCATATTATAGATTCTCTGTAATTGACAACACAGTACATAAATCACTTTTGTGGTTCTAATTTCATACATACCTAGAATATGACCACTTCTATTATCTCTATCTATTATGCTGACTAGGCTCCTATCATCTCTTGAATAGATAATTACAATAGTCTCTCACTTGGTCTTCCTGCTTTCACCACTTATCTGTTTTCATTGTTAACCCAATAATCTATTTTCAAAACAGTGGCTAGAATTACCCTTAAAAAATTCAACTCATGCCATAACCCATTACTTTACTCCTATGGCATCTGCCTCTCTTGGAGTAAAAGATGACATTGCACAATGCCCCCGAGGCTCTCATGTATGAATTCTCTACCTCCCATCTCTTTGAATCCCTTTCCAGACACTGGCTCCTAGCTGTTTCTTGAACACCCTATGCATGCCCCTATATCAATGGCTTAGCAGTTCTATCCTCCACCTAGAATATTCTCCCCTCAGCTATACACAAACCTGGCAAGGTTTTCTTCTTCACTCTGCCAATGAAGACTCACCTGATCACTGTATTTAAAAGAGCACCCCAAACACAACTTATCCTATTGCACTTCCTTGCTTATTTTCTTCTCCATAGCATTTATCTTCAACATACACACACTGTACTAGGAGCTAGAGATTGTCTCAGTACAGATTTCTTTCCTTCCCATGCCAGCTTGTACATTTCTTATTTGTGTCAACCTTAGCTATTTTTAAAAGACTTTGTGTGTGTGTGTGTGTGTGTGTGTGCACCTAAGAGGTGAAGTCATTTTAAGAGAGGTCTAAAAGCACTGCAAATGTCAACCTCCATTCAGGAAAAAACAACTGGATAAATATAGGACCAGTTAGGGTAGATGACCTTGATTTGGTGACCTTTTCTAAACCAGCACTAAACTAAAAAACAAAGTCCTGACTCTACCGCTCCCTAGCTTTGTGTGACATGTTGAGCAAGTCACTTTAGCTTCCAGAACTTGCACACAAAATGGGATAATTCTTGTCAATGCAGTAAGACACAAAATAGAACAGATACATAGTTTAGGGAGGAAAGTAATTTATCATCATTTGTAAATAATATGACTCTGACCTAATATACTGAAGAAAATCAACTGAAATACTTTTAAAATTAATTAAAGAATTTAGTAAAGTGACTTATAGAAGATAGAGATAAATAAGCTTTACATGCTGAAAAATAAGCTAGAAGATGTAATGGAAAAAAAAACAACAACAACAACAAACGTTAAGAATAAAGCCCTTTAAAAATAGCTAAGGATGACACAAGTAAGAAATGTACAAGGCTGTCATGGGAAGGAAAGAAATCTCTACTGAGTGATATAAAAGACTACCTCTAGCCCCTCGTACAGGACTTGGAAGAGTGGGCGGTAAATAATTGCTCTACACTGAAGATGAATAAATGGACAGAAATGCTGAAGTCCTGGGTGAAAGCATCACATATTGTAAAGATGTCAATTCCTGCCAAACTGATGTGTTTTCTTTGGAAGAAAGCAAATTGTATAAACTTTGGAGTCAGTTAAGTGACATCTGGAGGCTCTAAAGTTGTGAATGAACTTACTCTGGAAATTTCAATGGAATTTTTTGGCTTGATTACAATAGAAAACAGTTGATAACTTTTTCTTTTTTAAAGAATGGGGGTCCAAAACCATTGATGGGTATTAAAATAATTAAGCTGTGGATATTGGAGTATGATTAATTGAAAATGAGATAAATGTGTGTCTGTGTGTGTGCAGGCATGCATGAGAGAGAGAGAGAATTTTACATATAGCAATAAAAACTACACAGTCTATGGAAAGAGAACATTTTATCAATAAGGACTGTTGGGGATATTTGAGGATATT